TCCTGTGGAACTAGTTAAAGGCCTCTTACTGGGAAACTTATTAGGACCTCCCTTATGCATGATTTAACCTTCATTTCCCTGGTCCTGATCCAGAGTCCACTGAAACAGTGAAAATGTCCATTTCCTTTGGTGAGTGTTGCATTGCTCTCTTTTTTTCTTTTTTTTTTTTTTTTTGGTAAATTCATGCCTTAGTTAAGTCCAGATCAGCCATTCAATTGTATAATGGCAAACTCCAGCTTCACAAAACCTGTTCACGGCACCCAGAAACTAATTTTCTAGCTGAAAATGGTAAGACCTTCAAATAGTCACAGCATGGGGTGTTTGCCTTTCCGGTTTTAGAGCCTATTGATTCAAATGTACCTGCATCACATTCTTAAATTGTTCCTACATCCCTAAGACTTAGAAATTCTTTTTGCTTTTGTTAATGAAAACAGTCTCTTGCACAGGCACCTCCCCCAAGGATCTAAGGCTTTAAGAATGACATATTTAATGAAAGCACAAGGGTTAGTTTGTGCTGACTTGTGGTTAACTCATGTTAATCACACTAAGTAATGCTGAGCCATAGGTCTGGGGGGAAATAGTCGCACTGAACAGTAAATTTGGCAAAACCTGGTTTTCTAAGGAGTGAGAATATTTGCCAAGTCAAATCAACTCTTACAAACTGTTCTAGCCAAAAAAAAAAAAAATGAAGAAATGTAAAAAATGTCAAAACACTCCTCAACATTGTTTGAGTGAAATGTTCTATTTCAGAAACATCAACACCTTGTATCCTCATTTTCTAAGTAACACACTGATATTTTCTATTTGGAAAGGCATTTTTTGCTACAAACTGAACTGAGCTTCAGAAAAGCAGTGTTAGAAAGGGTTAAATAACCTGATAATTAAACTTGAGGAATTGCCTCAAGCCAGCTGGTCTTGGCATGGTTTTTCAAAACAAAAATCTTCAAATCCACTGTAATTTGCTGCGAGGAAACCCATAGCTTCTTAGCTGTGAGGAGATGGCTTAGTAGCTTAAAGTTATTAGGAAGGAATTGTCTTCCTAAATTTGACTACCAGTTTTGACAACATTTCCTCAATGACCTTGACTACATCATTCAACCTTCTGTGCTTCAGCTTCCTACCTGCGTTTTCCTAGGATTGTATCGAAATCATCTCGTGTCAAGAACATTAATTTATCAGTATGGATTGTCATTTACTTTTCAGTTTATCTGTGACAAGGCTGTCTTGTAATGTCATTGTCATCTTATTAACTGGGAAAGTAGAGCTGTATGAGTATTTTTACCCCACTGTGGATTATAGGAGTTTGGTTGGTGTGGTTATTTCCATTCCTCTAAGTAATTGAGTGGTTCTTCTAGTGTGTTTGTATGCATTCCTAATCTGTTCCAGCTCACATTTGCCCCTCAGTAATCATTCCTTCAAAAATAATTGTATTGAACTGTGGAAAATAATAAAGAGAAACGTCATTGTACGCACAGTGCCGCACACAGTTCCTTCCCCGGTGGAGGAAGGTTTCTCGTGCAACCTACTGTGTGCTCATGATTTTTGCTTTCTTCACAAGGAAATGAAATGAATTTCAACAACCAAGCTTTAACCACCAGTAAAATACTAACCCTCTGGCACAGGTCATTACCAACAAGGCAAAGAGGCTCACACAGAAGCAAATACTTGTGCCTAACCTGTGCTCTGGGACCTCTCAGAAGTTTTGCAATATCCATTACTGGGACTAAGCCATTGTAAAGGTATTTGTGCACAGCAAGTTTCCAAATTCCCTTTCTTTTTCTATCGCACTCACTGGTCACTGGTGGCCCATGGGCTGCTGGGTGGCACCTTGATGGGGACAACACAAGACCTCTGCTCCCAAGGGACCTGTGTGGGACATGGTATTGCTGCATGGCACAGGCACAGCAGCAGCCCCAAGCAATGCAGTTTCTCGAGTGTCTGCTGACCAAAACTGTCCCTCTTCCAGCAACAAGCAAGGAGCAAAAATACTGGACAATTCCCAATACTGAGTTTCATTTTGTAGTAAATGGAAATATTTTGCTCCTAAACTATAAAAACATAAAATAGAAGTGTTTATCTAGCTTACACATGGATTATTTTCCAGAATGCAAATGGCCTCTGGCCACATATGCACTGTTCCTAGGACAAGGAAAACCCTCCAGCTCTGCCCTGCTGGACTCTGCCTCAACTCCCAGATAGAACAGCCCAGGGACTTTCTCACATCCCCACCATTAAACTCTCCGAAGGCAGGGTGGCCAAGCCCAAATCGCCTTACAGAGCAGTCCCAGGCAGACACTGGGCTGCCCAGCAGAGCACCTTGCTGCCCTGGCCAAAACCCACACCCACACCTTTGCTGGGGCTCCAGCCTCAGTACCACTACTGGAGTGTCTTGGGAGCACCAACAAATTTATCTGGGAGGGAAAGGCTGAATATTGCTGCTAACATCTTGCTCATGGGACACGGACACTGTCAGAGCTAAACAATACACCTGAGGTCACAGCAACTGACTGTGAGAGAGGCAAGCAGAGGCCAGGGCACTGCCAGGCCACCCAAGTGCTTCATGAGCCCCAGTGCACATCCTAAGAGCCTCTCTAGAGTGCAAATGGTCACAGCAACACTTCACAAGCATGAAAACGTAAAACTTCAGCTGGTGGGAATTCAAATAATGTATGGCAATGAGTATGAGGAGAGGGTGTGATCACATGCACAAGCACATGCACTCCAAGGAGAAACCAAAGGGAAACTCAGGCCACCTGTAGGACCTATCTGCTCTCTGTGGAAAGCAGAGTAACGACTAGAGATCGTGTTTTTACAGCTGATTTCAGTTTTCCAGCTTGTGATGCTGAGCAACAAAAGAAAACGCTTCTTCCAAACAGAAGTACACATATGTTTTGGGAGATGTAACTTGTTAATTACTTTATATGAAATAATACATTTGGCTGGGGGTAATGTTATATGTTGCTTCATGGTTTTTATTCAAATCCAGTAATGATACTTCATAAATTCTTAACTTCAACAGGACTCCAACACAAGCTTAGCTGCTTTGCTGAACAGAAGTGAGTTTCATCATCCACCCAAAGATAAGCAAATGCTTATTTCCTTCAATTCTTCTTGGGAAAACAGCTGGAATCTTGAACTTCTTGAAATTCTTTCTCAATCCTAATCCATATTTCTATCTTATTCAATTTTCTATTAGGACTCATTGCAGATTTTTCTGTTCCTTGCTGAAACATTGACAGAATGTCTTCTAACATCTCGTCTTCTTACAGAAATAAAAAGTATGCTTAACTCCATAAAAGATGTATTCAGCAGGAAAACCCATAAATTTGACTAGCCGTTGTTACATTTGTTACTATCTCTTCCAGTGCAGGAACCCATTTCTGGAAGAGGAAACATGCCAAGGCTTCCAAAACATGCCAAGGCTTCCAAACTAGTAATGCATATTTTTAGCAGGGCACTATATCTTTTGGTAAAGGCTTTGCCTTTGAAGTTGATGACCCTCTGCGATAGCCACATGAGCTTAATTTTGAAGCTGCAAATTCAGTTGCTGTTGAAATATACAGCAAAATTGCAGTTCATTTATCTGCTAAATGTTCAGCACCTGCCTCCTTTCACTACATGCCAGCATGGATAACTTTTCCTCCAAATACTACAACTGTGTTTAAAACCTCTCACGTTTTTTTCTGAAGATACTATAGAAAACTAAGAATCAGTTTATGAGCTACAGGTATTTTTGGATCCCTACAGCTGTACATTGGGTATTTGCAGGGTTCTTTTCTGTCACTGCTAGGTACCACCAGGTCTGTACATATGCTTGCTTGGTTCTGCCTGCTATTATGATATCAGGGTAGGGGTTTAACATAAAAAGACCTTGATCCTGAATAGATTAGAGAAAAATATTTTGATCAAAAGAGCAAGTTTTGCACTGTGCTTTCAAAGAAGTAGGTATAGGCAGAGCTTGTTAATTTGAAGCATGAAGGAGCCCTGATTTTCAGAGACTCCATTTCCTATGAAGGGAAACCTCCAGGAAGCAAATCTTCCGTCATTGTTTATGGTCTGTGCTAAGCCAAATCCCAAAGAATTCAGTATAAGCTCATCTCCACTGACTCTAAGGCTTGTCCTCCACTGACTTGATGATGTAGATGGTCAAACCATCAGAGACATCTAAGGAAACACACACAGTTGCTACTGCAGGATGGTAAAAGCAAGACACCCTAAACCCCACGTTGCCTCTGCTGTGCACTACACAACTGATCAGAGAAGATTCTCAAACAAAAGGGATTTTTCTTTAGATGTTTTATTTGCCTCAGGCTGGATTAAAGAACATTTGCTCAGAGCACATGCATCTTCTTTTAAAAATGGTCATGACCAGAGCAGTACCTCTGCAAAGAAAAGATGTGTTAAGAAAAAAAGACACCTGAAAATATGTTTTCTTCAGAAATTCTGTGTTCTCCAGCATCAGTGCTGATTTTCTTATTGGCCTTGAGGGAGCACTGCTACATGCATTTTGGCTGGTTAGCAAAACCAAGCAAGAATGACTGCCAGGTATTTGAAATGCCTGCGCATCTTTTCCATTACACCAGGATAAATACTGCTCTCTGTTATAAACACAGGGTCTGGTTATATTCCCATCAATGTTAGAGGCAAATTTCCCATTGACTTTAACAGTGCAACACAGGGCCTTTACAAAACAGACAGGGTACCTTTGTATTTCCTACTGAATATGAAAAAGAAAAACCTGTGTACCAAAGTCTTTGATCAAAAAGAAAACAAACACATCTTAGGGGCTTTTTAATAACTTTTTCCCCAATAAAAAGAGTAAAGTTGGCCTGAAATTATTATACCTGTTTGAACAGAAAGCATACTTTCTTTCTAGCTAGGCATTATATCATTCAATCTATGAACACAGAGATGTAATATAAAGTAATAAAGAGGAAATACAAGATAAAGTAAGATACAGACATATTAAATTGCTTAATGAAAACACAAGAGAAAAAGAGTGAGTAGAAAATATGGTTTCCTTTATTGAGAAAAATCCCTTTTCAAATGCTTAATCAATATTAGGTTCGTATTTCCTGACTTGAGATATTTTTTACATTTATTTTTTTAGAAAGTTATTAAATATCTTTAATGAATATAGATTGTCGCTTCTCTGCAGCCTGGCCTGGCAGCATCCTGGATAGATTGTTCTCTCTTACTCTGCTTTCTTTCTACAGCTGACTGTTCCAAGCAGTCCATCTCATAATTTAATTTCAGATCATTCTTGTCACTGAATTCCATCCCATAAATGTAAATACGTATTTGCAAATGCAGCTGGGGAAAAGGAAATCCTGAAGGATCATGCTGTTGGTGATCTGGAGATGAGTCAAATTAACATGGAACATTTGTTATCACTTAATATTTTTATGTTCTTGTACTGCAGACCAGATTGAGGCAATAAGAGGATTGTAGTTAAACCACTAGTATTCCTGTTTTATCAATATTCATTGTCCACATTCTATTAAATACCAGAGTCTAGTGACCAGGCTGTAAGAATCTGAGACTTCAGTCAGTGCCTGAGGCCATAAAGCCACCTGCTCCACCATGGCATCTATCCTTAAGTTGTCCAGAATGACATCTATCCTTAAGTTGTAAAAAAAAGCTTCTATGGTAACAACAGCTTCTATGGTGTTTGTAAATAGCCAGTTCTCCGCATTCTCCCACCACAGACCACTGGGGATGTAAGCCCACCACCCTGAACAATACCCCATGAATGCCTCTTGAGAGATCACTAAAAATTAGTGAATATCAGCTGAGGCGCCTTAAACCGTACTGTGTTTTGGACTGTACCCATGGCCAAGGGGCACGCAGGTCAGGGAGGGCTGGAGCCCTCCACGTACTGTGTGTACCATACAGCACTGGCTGGAGGGGAGGAGCAGTTCCTAGAGGTGCCCTGGATTGGTTGTGCTGGGGTTATGGAAAGCATAGGAGGGGACCATGTAGAGACAGGCAAATAAACCATAGTGTATTGAAGCAATCTTACTTATATATCCAAGTTAAATTTGACCGGTTTCTAAGGAGTACCACTACAACCAGCATGTACATATCACCTGGAGCATCATCTCCTTCCATTATAAAAATCTAATGATGCTTTATAAACAGAAATGCGGTCAAGCTAGAAATAAGCTGTCACACAAAATGCTGACGTCTCGAAATACAAAGAGTATCTGAGAGATTTTTTTTTCTCATTAAAAATACTGCATTTGTTTTTCTCAAATGAAGTAGAAGTCATAAGAAAAATCAACATTACATTACCTAATTGTCCTTATTTTCATTTTGAATTCCCCCAGCGCGGGGCTGGGACAGCTCCGCTCCTTTGCACCGAGTGCCATGACAACCAACAGACCCATCGGATACCTGCATTGCCATCCTGCTCGTTACCTGGAGAAAAATGTACATACCAAACACTCAAACTCTTTTTAGACTTATTAAATATAAATAACTAATATGATTTGACCTAGATAGCTGAATGTAATGTATCATAACATCCCAGTATAAAACAACCCTAAATGTAAAAGCATTTATGTACATTACGGAGACTAAGTAAAGTTGCTACAATGAGATCATCAGTTTTATTATGTTTTAAGAGAAGATTTCCTTAAGAAAAAAGCTTTGAAAGTGAAAAATGTGAGTACGGTATTCAAGACTTTAAGTACTAATTCTGTGCTGTAAGTACAAATTTCCATCGACAGCGTAGTTAAAGCACTCCTATAAATTATATACATCACAAATCTCTGTAATTAGTGTCCCCAAAGAAAAAATTATTTTAAGTTGCTCTTAGAGCTCTAGCTTTTTCACTTTACTGGAACCCAAAAATATCACAGCATTTAGCAGTATCCATCTATAAAACAAGCTGTAGTTACATATACATTCAAACACAAATAAAGAAAATACAGATATATGAGTTTACGGCCACTAGCCATTACAGAAACACCACTTATGAAAAGGTGTATCCAACTCAATGTAAGTCTAATGCTTCTCTTTCATCTTGCAGTTGATCGATACATATGAGAAATTTTATATGATACCAATGTTCAATTTGCATTTGATGTGCAAAACCCAACAATACATCCAGCTTTACTTCTCGTCCTTATAAATGATGTTATCATTTTAACAGATAACCTATTTAAACATCCTAATGTTTCTCTAAGCACCATCTTTCTGGTAGCTGACCCTTGCAAGAGAATATAAGATTCTTACCTGAAAAATGACAAAGAGCTGCAGACCAAGCTTCACACTTCAGCTGAATCAAGGCTCTCATTTAATTAGCACATCTTTATCTCATCCCAATTTATATTAATGAATTTCTTGGCAATACAGGAAAAAGGCCTGGCACCTGCACCCTAGGACCTAGGTAAAGAAACTGCTTTAAAGAGGATGAGTTTGGAGTTCTTTGTCTGATTTTAACTTTATTCACTTTCATTGTCCTGTTCTCTAATCAGTATTATTAGATTCTACCACAGCTTCCTCTTCAAACATCTCTCCAGTCTTCTTTCCTCATATCACTGAATTCCCACAGCCTTTGTTTTGTATTTGATTTTCTCCCCTTTAATGTCTCTCCAAACATTTAATTGCTTTTTCAGTTTCCCAGATAACATCCAGAGATGTTCAAACATTAATGGCTTTGCTTCTAGCTACTGACCAGCCATATAAATCTGTTCACACACCACAACTCTCTTCATGAAAATTAGGTTCAACTCTGTCCCAAACTTCAATACAAAATCTGTTTGAAATCTGTTGATTTAAACCAGTGTGCCACTACAAACACAGTTGTCGATGCAGAACAACCACCTTCATGACCCTCATGTTTTGACACGTTTGAATCTGTCAGGAAGTCCAAATGAATTTCATTTGTAGCTGGGAGACAAATAAAACTGATTTGGGTGGAGGTTCCCCCATAAACTAATTGCATTAGACTCAGCACTGCCTTTCATCTGGTACCACACTCATTCATCTTTTGCTTACAGGAAGGGGAGACTACTTCTTCTGCCACTCCTAATTCGGACCACGCAAGCTCCAGCAAAGATGCACAAGTTGGCTTGAGGCTGGAATTTTGCCCGCAGGAGCTGGTGAAATCACTTCTTCTCTGTTTGAGAACAAACTACACTCACACGAGTGCATCAGGGAAGGAGGACCGTAGGAAAACATAACTAAACTGCTTGTACATGTTGTCCTCTGTGGAATGTTCTTATTCCTCTTCTTTATGATGGCCTAAGTGAGAAAAAAAAGATAAACATTTAACTAACATGTGAGGTCACCCTGATTATTTATTACTGGGACTTGTTTGTTTGTTTGTTTGCAGCTGCTAACTTCATTCACTGAAGTACCCCCTGGATGCAGTTTCCAACAGAAAATTTATTAACTGGAATTGAATATCAAAACCACCAGATATGCACAGCTGCACTATGGAAATGTATGTTATCGCCTGCACGTTATCCTGGTTTTTTTCAGAGTTTAAATGAATGTTTGAAAGAGGAACATGGGGGTAAAAGATTTAGAGGAAAAATATGTAAAAACAAAAGCATCAGATTTGAAGCCCTATATATGACCCAACGGTACTCAACTACCTATGAAATACATTGTCGTGGTTTAAACCCAGTCAGGTAACTTGTTCACTCACTCCCAGTGAGTGGTGCCAAGCTGACAACAATCAAGGTCCGTGTTCGTCTACCCCCCCCTCCCTGCACCGGGGCTCTCCCCTTCCCCGCTCCCGGAGGAACGGGGAGGAGGATCGAGAGAGTGCAACTCCTACGGGTTGAGACAAGAACAGTCCAGCAACAAATCACCACTGCTACTATCAGCTAAAACAATGATAAGGGAAAATAACAAGGGAAGAGAATACGATACCACCGGCCAAGAAAACGAGTTCCACCCGGAAGCTCCTGTCCTTCCGGTTAACTCCCAGTTACCCCCCACCCCGGGCATGACGTGCTGTGGTATGGAATACCTCCCCGGCTAGCCCGGGTCAGGCGCCCCGTCTCTGCTTCCTCACAGCTTCCCCTCCTCCCTGGCAGAGCATGAGCCTCACAGAGTCCTTGGTCAGGGTAAACATCACTTAGCAACAACCGAAAACATCGGCTTCACCAACGCTGTTCTCAAAACTAGAAGTCAAAACACAGCACTGCACCAGCTAACACAAAGGAAAAAAACATGACTGCTACTGCTGAACCCAGGACATACATGTACATTTCTATGAGCTGAAACTGATACGTGAGAATTGTGCTTGCAGCAAATGAGGAAGGCTGACCAAATGATACCCAAGCACCATTAGCCACAGCCCTGGGAGACCCAAACCAACCACGTCACTGCTCACAGGTGAAGAAGCAGGTAAACAGGACAGAAAATGTAGAACTTGATGAACAACAGGACTACGGTCTAACATTGCGGGGGATAACAAAAGTAAACAAGAACAGTAAGTGATGCCAATGGTAGAGAAATCAACTGCATTATATGCACAGACAGTGGTACCCAGTTCTGTGAATTCTGTGTTTTAGGAATAACTGGGAATTATTTTTGCTGAACCAGTGGCTACCAGTTCTGGAGTGGTGCTCCCTTTACAGGCTGGTAATATTGCTGAAAATCAGTTTTGAGTTTCAACTAGGGGATGTTGGCAAAAAACAGTGGAAAAACTGACACACGGGTAACGCAGACAGTCCCCTTCTGGCTGTCAGCTACCTTCAGCAAGATTCCTGCCAGCCCACACAGCTCCAGCTCTGTGTACAGCAGTAACTACAGTATCCCTACAACAAATTCCATTACAGTTCTTCAGCACTCAGTTAAATGCTTGCTTCCCCTTCATGCACACAGTGCTGAAGTTACAAACAGAAATTAATTTGCTCAATATGCTGTCCCCTTTCCCACACTGCTCTTGCACTGGATTGCCCTGAACCCAGTGTCACTCTGCATTTCCCAACTTGTCAGCCGATAGAGTTAGGCCAGCCTCTGCACCTTGTTTTCCACTTGCTCCTTTAGATCAGACAAACATGTGGGGATCACCTGAAAACAATTAAACAAGAAACTTCTCACCCTCTTTTGGACACACAAAACTAGACTCTTGATCAGAGCAATTCCAGGGAGAGGACACCTCATGGACTGCTTCAGTGCATGAGAAGTCCAGAGCCAGGCTTGTGGGAGCACACCATAACAGGATAGATGTGTCAGGCAAGTTTCCCAAACCTTTCATTCCCAGGAATGACAGCAAAAATACCGAGAAACTATATGCGGTCATGTTTACAGTATTTTATTCTGTCTTATAGCATAATGCATTTAGAAGTGAGGAGCACACAACTCCATTACCTTCTTACATGATGAAACTGGACTGAGAAGGCGAAAATCAAAGAAGACACGTTACTTGAGTAACCCATAATAATATTTCACAAACAACAGGTTTTGACATTTAGAAGTATGGACACGCTTCTATTCCTGCCACAAACATCTGCACAAATGAAACCAGCTTACACCAGGAGGTACTGACCAAGAACACCTGCTACCCCTAACAGCGACTGCATGTTGCATATGCTGTTTACTGACCATAAACTGCATTCATTTCTGTTTATCAAGGTTGTTTAGGTGAAACTAATTAAAAACATCAAGATGTTGTCTCTCAGTCACTAAACACATAGACAACAGAAAAGTCATTTTAAAGACAAGTTAGTTAAATAAAAACACTGGTTTGCTTTTTCAGTTCTGGTTGCCTAAATCTACAAGGGTACAGGAGCAGGCAGATTTGTCAGTTCCGCACACCAGTGAGAATGAGTGCAGTCAGCTTCTGAGCTGCCACCAGCAACAGTGAAGGGCAGAGAATGACAACAATCCCTCCACATAAAGACTAGTTTCATTTCTGGTAAAATCTTGACTTCCTGTGTCATGGTACTTTCATAGTCTAGTCTTCACATGCATTGCATTACAGAAAGTAGTTATGCAAGAACATTGTTACACTTCCTTTTATAGTTATGACAGTGCAAAATGAAGGAAAATGCTGTTTCAGTAGACCAGACAGCATTGCACTTCAGGAGAAAAAAAATAGTCCAGACCTCTGTAGCATTCAAAAATCTTTCCTCTGCACAAACATGACTTTTATTTAGATATTCAGAGTGCAGAATATTCTGCTATAAGAGACACAGATGATATTTGTTACTGGGAGAAAAGTCTTTTATGAATACTTGTATAAGACAGCTTTATGTGCCTCCAGCACATCATTTACCTGATTTCCCATAAATACATTTTTTTCTTCAACTACCTCAAAACCAGCAACAAAACACAGAGGTACAGTCAGTCATAAGGGTACGCACATATTGCTGCCTCACAAGTAGCTGGAAGGCTGAAGTTTCTGTTAGAAGAGAAAATAATTAAAGTGATAGGAATTACTAGTTTTACCTCTGCTTAGCTCATCCCAAATAATACAAAAAAGTCTCTTGTGATTTAAAAATTACTACATATTTTAAGTGAATGAAGAAGGTGATGAAACATTACAAGGAGACAGAGGCAGGCACATATTTTTATATGATAGGAGAGTATTCATAGCATGTCATCTTATCTGAGAAAGAGATGGGTTTGATAAGGAGAAAGGTGATTCTTCCTTCAGTGAAGAGACAACATAGATGTACACATATTTTGCTTAATTTATAGCTACAAGTATACTTGCATACCTGATCGTGATGCAATTTCTAAGCTTCAGTTCAGAAATAGCAAGACTACTATTCCCAGCAAATGTTTAGGAATTTCGTAGCACTAATGACATACCACTAGAGATACGACCTAGATTCAGTGCAGGAGCAGTACAGGAGATACAGCATGTGCACAGCCTTCAGCACATGCAGGTGCCAAAGACGAGAAGAAGCACAAAACCCTTTTCCCTTTTGCAGGTTCATGTTGTTCCTATTTCCTAAAACACAGGATTAGGCATGTGCCAGTTCCACCAGCTCCTACAGTGCAGGGAAACAAAAAGGATCCTTTAGCTTCAGCAGCAATGGCAATTCCCTCTGTCTTTCCTCACTTAAGAGAAACATTTTTGAAGAGCTGTGCTGCAACTGAGGTGAAGGTTGTAAGTGAGCTCAATAAAAGATTCCACCTGTGCTAAGTGAAGACTCATGGGAAAACTGAGAAGAATTTTCCTATTCTCTTCCAAAATAAAATTCACTGGAAGGCCTTTGGAGATTCTAGACAAGGACTGTCACTTCACTCCTTTAACATGGCTAGAACTATCCTCTCTTGTTTCCACAGCATGAAGAGGAATGGTTACCACTGTAACATGCATGTCTCCTTCACATCTTAAGTTATTTAAAAACGGATGAATTTGAAGCTTCTTTATTCATCCTCAGAGGAGCTGTCTAAGAAGTTCAATATTCACAGTTCTGTATTTTTAAGCAAAACACTTAACATTATATCAGTAGCATATAAGCTGATGGGTGTTTTATGCCCTGTTCATGTAAAAGCCCATTAAACTAACTGTGTTTCAGCCTTTGAGGATGGTAGGAAAGGAAGCCTTAGTTGATGAACTGCACAGTTACCACCAAGGAATCCCTGCACATATCTCTACCAATAAAATTTTCATGTTCTTTCTTCAGTAGATATCAGCATGGTCATTACAGAATGTGAGAGTTTTCCAAAGCTTAATAGGCTTTTTCTTTCTACACCTAGCGATAACTTGTCCACAGTAAGCCTTTGTACTTGACTGTAGACCCACTAGTATAGGTTTGGTCTACTTAGTTTAGATTTTCTAGTTTTTCACATTAGCTATACTTTTTACATCCCAAGAGGATGCTTTGAAAGCCCTATGCTGTACAACATCATCTGGAGTTGTCCTGGGTTTAGCAGTAGCAGTCAATTTTTCTCCTTCTTGGTAGCTGGTGCAGCATTGCGTTTTGACTTCAGCCTGGGAACAGTGCTGATAACACTGATGTTTTCAGCTGTTGCTAAGTGATGTTTACCCTGACCAAGGACTTTGTGAGGCTCATGCTCTGCCAGGGAGGAGGGGAAGCCAGGAGGAAGCAGAGACAGGACACCTGACCCAAGCTAGCCAAAGAGGTATTCCATACCACAGCACGTCATGCCCAGGATCTAACTGGGAGTTACCCAGAAGGACACAGGCTTTTGGGTCGGACTCGTTTCTCAGCGGGTGGTATTGTATTCTCTTCCCTTGTTACTTTCTCTTATCATTGTTGTCGTTGGTGGTAGCGGTGGTGATTTGTGTTGCACATTGTTCGCTGGACTGTTCTTGTCTCAACCCGTGGGAGTTGCACTCTTTCGATTCTCCCCCCCATCCCCTCAGGAGCGGGGAAGGGGAGAGACCCGGGGAGGGGGGGGGCTCGTTTGCTTCCAGCCCGGCACCACTCACTGCGAGTGAGTGAACAAGCTGCCTGGCTAGGGTTTAAAC